TTGAAGAGTGCATCTCTGTTCCTTCTAAATGAGTGATCACGATTTAGAAATCTTCTATGGAAGTCGTACTAGCTATTTTTTTCTACTATTTTTTTGAGTAAATGTCTTCGGCTATCCATGCAGTATGGGCAAACCAATTCTCGGCTGTGCTCCAACTAGATAGCATCTCATAGGCCAAGAAATCACTAATTGTTCGCAGAAGAGCCCCTCTCAGTTGAAAATTCTGATTTGTAGCGATGTCGTACGTAAGTGTTGCACATTGTTATCTTTAGGTTGTAGGGTGAATAGTTAATTAACCAAACTCTTATGTCACACACACAATATTAATCTTTGCAATAAAATAAAATAATTTCCTTAAAAAAGCTTGAAATTAGTTGTTTACATCTGTCATTTTAATTAAAAAAGTGCTGCCAAAATTATGTACAACATAAAACAAAAACGAGACACACACACACACACAAAATTTGTATACATACACTACAAAAATTGCAAAAATTTATAAGTATACTTGTACATATTACTTAAAAACTATTGTATGAACTGCACGGTTGATAAAAAAATTCACATTGTATATATATACAATAAATCCTCAAACCTCATAAAAACAACTAGCTCAAAAATTCAATAGTAAGGGTATAATTAACAAGAGAAGTCATAAGTCTATAAGCACATCAGCTGCCCAACCCTAGAGATAATGGATCTGTTTAACGAACACATGGACTGATAATGCAACTACTATTCAATAGATGAAAGCTCATAAGCACTTAAATCTGAAACAACAAGATATCACCTAAAATAATGGATGTGTTTGACTGATATTTAACGAGCTTGAATGGAAGAAGAATTAAGATAGCAATTAGGATACTAATTAGAGAGTTAAGAGTAATCTCCATTGCACTAATTATTTCTCAAAGTAGAATGTGGACCCTTTCCGTGCATGCATTCATTAATGACAAACGTAGCTTAGCAGGAAGCAGTTGGCGCTATGGTTGGCAGAGCCACGATGAAGATTCTCGGTAAAGCTAAGGAATGGCTGGCTTGGTGATGAATTTTGGAGCTTAGCAAACGCAAAGGGAGTCATTTTTGTAATTTTTTTAAAAGTTATATTAAAATAATTTTAATAAAGCTATTAAAATAATTTATTTTCAAATATTTTTAAAGTTTTCGAACCTTTTTTTCTATTTATAATCTTTTATGAAGTAAATAATATTTTGAATTACTTTCTTATCTGTAAGACTGTATTTTGCATGGTGAGAAAAAAAAGAAGTGAATAAATTGTATTAAGGAAATCACACAAATCTTATGTTTTTATATAATTATCTAAATTTTCATATATATGGATCTGGATCTAGTCCTCCCCCTAGGTTTGTTGGAAGTTCCTTTTCTTTGGTTGTTTGAAGCTTCCATTTTTTGTAACTCATTTTCCTTCTCCAGTTTCTATTCTTTTGGATATATATATATATATATATATATATATATATGATACTTGTATATGGTGTCATAAATTTATATATATGAGAAGATGTATTTTATTTTTAAAAGTAAATAATAATAGTAATATTTATCGTGTGATAATAAAGAGTTGATTTAATATTATGCATGTAATCATATATGAAAGTTGACATATTAGATATGTGTGTGTCTCTATATATATATATATATTCTATGGTATGACTGTCGCATACCCCAACCTGTTGGTTGGCATCCACGGTATAAGTCTTTTCAGATCCGGAGTTCGAATCTTCTCTGACACAGTTGGTTTTAAGGAGATGAAACTTTAATTGTTAGACGCATTAGGGGTGACTAGAGTCTCGTATAATAACATCCGTTCCTTTATATATATATATATATATATATATATATTAATATGCGCGATTTCGTCGCTCCCGTCTCTGCTAGGGTTTGCGATTTCATGGCGATTTCGTTGAGACTTTGATATGGCTCCCCCCTCTCCCCACGAGAGAGAGAGTAATTCGACTGGATCTATATGATATTTTCTGCTAGAAAAGTGTCATTTAATTTTTTTTTATCCATCAAATTTTCTATTTAATTACTGGACTCTTTTTTTTTTAGGAAAATAAATCTATATTATGAGAAGCAAGGATTAATTAAATCATTGTAATGACATTCTTTCAAATAACAGCTGAAATAACTACAGCGGGCGCACTACTTGAAGCAATTCTAAGCTCATAATTAGTAAGAACTAAACATAATTTTACTCCATTAAAATCATGTTTGTAACGCAGTTGGATTGGTTGGTCGTCGGTGGGGAATGAAGTGATGATGATTGAGGGCAGACTAGACCAATTGTTATAAAAAAACAGTAGAGTAGTTGCTGGAGAATAGGGACGGGGGACGAGCTCCAGCCAAGCTAATCAGACAATGGGTCCAACTGGGTTACAGGCTGGCTAACCATCCAAAACTATCGATATGACATTTTGTATGAATATTTTCTTAATTTATTGGACTTTAAAGCGTATTTAAAAGTGAATATAAAATATTTCAAAAGCATTTCTGAAGATATTCGGGTGCTGATTCCAGCAAATATGGAGTCATAATAACATGCTTTTTGGCTGGGATGAATTCAGAATGATATACATTGTATGATTTCAGGCATGTGAGGCATAAGCTGGTTGAGAAGTCTGAGGAAGACTGGTCCCCCACCCTTCCATGAGGGGTTGGTTTGGTGCCCTAGATAGGAGATCCTCCTTATTCTCTCTAAACTTTTCCATTAAGCCTCTCAATAAATGTATAGCTTCCAAAGTAGACCTGCCCAACGCAAATCCAATTTGATTATGAGAAATCTTTGTAATATGTCTTAGCCTATGTTCAATTACCCACTTTCATAATTTTAAAGCATGACATATTAACTTTATTTATCTATAATTTGTACACTTTTGTGTAACTCCTTTATTCTTAAAAATGGGGACCAAACAATTTTCATCCACTCCTCATGCATCTTTTTTATTTTTAAAATAATATTGAAGAGCTTGCTAAGAAAAGAAACTCTCAATTCTTCTATGTATTTACATACTTCAATTAGGATGCCATTAGGTTATGAAGAATTTCCAACTTTGATTTTCTTTAAAGCCTCGTCAACTTCTTTTTTTGTAATGTGACGGTAAAAAAATATTTTATTATTATTAACGATATTAGGATCATTAAGGTCCATCATATTTTTAGAAACTTTATGAAAAAGTTTATCAAAATGATTCACTCACCTGTATTGAATATATTTTTATTAAAAAACTTTTTTTGATTTTCATCTTTAATACAATTTACCTGAGTTAAATCTTTAATTTTCTTTTTTTTTTATTTAGCAAGTTTATACATATACTTCTCGCCCTCTTTAGCATCTAATAAATTATAAATATCACTAAAACATAATTTTTAGCGCCACATATTGTTCTCTTAGACTCCCTACGTGCCATTTTATATTTTTTTAAGTTCTCTATGTTTTTACATTTAAACTAATTCTTATAGCATAACTTCTTATATTTTACATTTCCTTGCACAATATTACTCAACCACCAACTATTTTTAATTATAAAATTTTTTTATTTTGATTATTCAAGTACAACTTTTGTTAATTATTTAATAGTGTTTGTTACGTGATCCCACATAGAATTTGGTTATTCATTAACGTCCCAAATTTTAAAATATTAAAGTTTACTCATAAAAATAATTTTATCTTTCTTTTATGTGTTATCATCTAATTCTATGATAATGATTTCCAGTATTCTTTTTTTTTACAACTTTTAATCTTAAAATCTAGAACTAATAATCGATGTTGAGTACTTAAATCCTCATTTTGAATGACCATGCAATCCTTACATTCTCCACGATCTCTTATTCTCATAAGAAAGTAATCAATTTGTGAACTAATAATCGATGTTGAGTACTTAGATCCTCACTTTGAATGCTATCCAATCCTTACATTCTCGAAGATCTCTTATTCTCATAAGAAAATAATCAATTTGTGTTTATTAGATCCATTATTATAAGTAATAATATGTCAATATGTAATCTTAAATAAAGTATTAGCGATAACAAAATTATATCATAAAGTAAAATCTAATATCATCATACCTTTCTCATTAATCACACAAAAATCATAGTTAACATGAATATTTCTAAAATCTTCTCCCACTCAGCAACACATCCATTTAAATCTCTTTCAATAAAAAATCTTTATTCAAGAGGTACCATTTGTATTAAAACTTCTAGGTCATTCCATAATTTATCATTGGAACCGATATCTAAAGTTACTTGAGAAACATAAACACTTGTAATATTCAAATCTCAGCATTAACAATAATTTTAATGACTATAATTCTAACTCAAATTCTATTGATTTTTATAACATCATCTTTCAAATCTATAATTACACTTACACGATTTCTAGTGTGTTCCTTACCTAATACCAATGTTTAAAATTTAGTTTATCAATCTCCTTAGTGTTTTCTCCATCACATTTATTTTATTGAAAACATAAGATGTTTATCTTTTTATAGATCATAATATCGACTAATTATATTAATTTACTTATGATAGTAATAATATTTCAAGATCATATCATAATATTAGTTTTATTAATTAATTTATTTACCGTATCCGTCTGTAATGTGAGAACTCTTGCTTATTTGACATTAAACTCGGACGCCGGTGTAACGACTATTGCACACGTTTTATTGAATTCATACGTTTCATTGTATTCATACCATACAGCACATCGCTTTCTAGGAACATTCTAGAATTTATCTCATAATTAAAATAATAATTTTAATGAATAAGAGCTTTAAAAAAAAAAAACTTGGCCGCAACCTCTTACCCAAAAGATTTGAAAAAGCATAATTTAAAAAATTAAATAACTAAATTCTAATTTAATGAAAATTAAACTAAAAATTAACACAATAGAAGTATTAGCACGCGATTTCAGGTTTTGTCCTTTTCCTGCTCCCTGTCATTTCCCCCCGCTTTTTAAAGTGCGACAAGCGACAGGCAATAATGGCTGCACTAGCTTTTGATCGTATCCGGAGCCATTTCTATTCCCTTACTTTGTACAGTGCGACAAGTGATATTCGACAAGCCATGCTCCCTTCTACTCTTTCTCCTCTATCTGTAGAGAAATCCGAATGACCGGGGAATACCTCCAACTTCTCCATCTTCTCCAGCTTACATAAAGCGTCTCTTATCATCCGTCCCATCATCATTGCTTTCGCGCTCTTTGTTGATTTGGAGGTCGCCATGGAAGCCCCCGCAAATGCTCCGCTGGTAGGTTGAGCAGTCGACTTTCTTTAGCAACGCTTATCTAGGGCTGTTCTGTTCTATTGTTGTCACTCCGGCAGAGCGGCGATGTCGCTGTGGCTCGGCTCCGGCCGGCGATCAGCATCTTTCGCAGACAGCGGCGTAGGGTTTTCAATGGGGCTTGAGAAGAGGAGAGTGGTTGCAATCTCAGAGGATGGGGATGGCAGCGAGAATAATTCCCATGAGAGGGAAGATGTGAAACCGTACACGGTGAGCCGCGTCTCTGTTGAATATTGATTCGTTTTCTCCATAGAAAAAAATGAGAATCTACTTTGATTTGCTTATGGGGTAATGCAGACAATTCGCGTATCGACAAGCAACTATTTTACGCAGGAGGGAGAAACCCTACTGGTACAGCTACCGACGAGCATGCATCTCTGGTTCGGACATGTGCGGTCTTATCAAATCCGGCCAAATAATCTTCCAAAGCAGGTTCGTACAATCTCAGACAATTACTTTCTTTTAATTGTTATTTTAGACATGATTTATGAAATTTTGTACTTATCTATAAAGGGATTTGCACATAACCGCAAACTTTTTATGTCTTAACACATGTAAACGTGAACCTTTATATTACTTGACATTTTAGTGTCTAAAGCAGATCGAAAATACTCTGTAAGTCAATATTGATAGCATTTTTAATGTGATTTAAAATTTTAAATGTTATATAGGTAAATATAAAGATTTAAATACTAGATATTTAAACGCATAAGAATTTTGGTATGTATGGAAATTCACCTTTTTTTATATTTGTAAGTTGTCAGACTTGCATGAGCAAGCGGCTGAGCGGGGTCCTCATCCGCTAGCATGAGGGGTGGGTGACTGGACAGCATAAGCTACATGTTTCGTTTCAATTTGTGATTGAAGTTTTGATGCTTTAATTTGTTATGATAAAATGGGTGTCTTACATGCATGCCACTAATTTTTTTTTTGCATTTATATATCTAACATCTAGATTCTTATTTTTACTCCAAATCGCAGTAAAGATATTATTAATGTTAACTTTTTGTACTGAAATATATCTTTGTATGCATATATTTATTTGATTGAAATAGTAGGGTGTTATATATGAAAAAATTAAAGATTTGTGTGTAAAATATGTAAATACATAAAAATTTTGTGGTATGCATGTAAATCCCTTGAAATAAAAATGGGTGGCATTCATGTTATAACATTATGCAATTGAATTTGATGTAGAACCAGAACATTGTAGGTTATTTATAGTTAGTCAAATAAAATGTTTTAGACAAGATGGAGAATGGTTTGATTAATTATTTCTTGATTTTATATATGCTTTGTAGCTGTTAATGGGTATAGACATAAACGAACCATTATCCAACATTATTGCATTGCTAAAAGTGTTTTAGGATATTATGAGTAATGTACAAATCCGACCTGAGACTTAGAATTAAGGCCGGAACAAATTGTCAAATAATTAAATTAAGTTCTATTATTCATTTTCCTATCATTGACAATTTATAATTAAAGATCCACTAAAGAAGGAAATTAAAATAATCCAATTAAATTTTTACCTTAGCTCAGGTTGTTCGCGTCTTTTATAGATATTGTCCTTTCATTCATTTTTCTAATCTACTAATTAAATTTGCAATATTATTTTAAAACATGAATGAGCTAATTAAGCCAATGAATATTCATATTCTTAGACTATAGTTATACAATGAAAAAGAAGATAATAGGTATGTCAGTTTAACTTTATTTAAATTAATTTAAGAGCATTTGTTGCTTAATACTATCTAATATGATCATTCGTGGCAGTTCTAGACATTTATTGTCTTATTGTTTACATATTAATGTATTTTTAATCTTTAAACAACCACGGCAGAGACACCATCTAAAATACCAAAAAATGTACATTAATATCAATATTCATTTCTATTTATATGCACGAGCATCTTAGTGTTTCCCCCTTAGTACAAAAAATGACAAATTCTATCATATCCAGTATGCACATACAAACATATATATAATCAATATCATTTATATGCTGTTGTTGTTGTCACCTTCCTGTACTTGTTATAGCTGACGGCTGTAGACGTGCAGGGTTAGGTTAAGTAGAGGTTGATTTAGATAGATAGGGAGGCAAACTCGGCAAGTCTACAATGTGGAATATGAAAACAAAGGGAAGGTAGGGATGGTGGGTATTAGGGAAGGAGATGAAAGTTCTTAAAGGCTAGGAATGAATTTTTATTTCATGAAAAAATAATTTATATCACAAACTTCATCCTTAATTTGAAAGATCATAGGCGCTTGTAGAAATATATTTCAATTCAAAGAAACTCGGATCATCAACTAGCACTTAAGGATATTTTCTACTTTAAGGTGTTCTTAGGATGAGTAGGAGAACACAATGGAGTGAATATAGGATAGTTCTCTTGATTTTGTCTAGTTTTATATATATATAAATTCAAATTGCACTTTTGTAAATAAATCCATTTATAATTCTTTTATTGCACTTTATCCATCAAGGTTAATTTGCAATTGCCCTAAGAGCTTTTTGGATCATTTATTGTGATTAAGCTCCTTGATCAGCTACTTCTTTGATAATGAATGGATTGTTACTTTTTTACTTTTTGCGATAGGTTGTGCAATTTTTAGGTTCGATTAGCTCCTTCAATTTTTCATAGGACAAACTCCTTTAATTGAAAGCCTCTACGTCTAATTATGGAATTAAAAAATCGGATGCTTATTTATACTCATATGCTTGATAGGATATATTGAATTGCATGATTCATTGGTATGGTTGCTCTTTTTGAATTGTTGTAATCCATACACTTTTAGTTGGTTGGAATAAACTCCACTTGAATAAAACTTTTGTTTCATAGGCTGAAGTAGGAGGTTTTAACTTTTTTTGTTGAAGGAGTTATATGAGGCACCTAGAGAATTGCTCATAACTCATTGACTAAGATGTGTTACCTTCCCTTAAGTTTGTTCTTTGTGATGTTAAAGATTATATTATTGACTGCTTTGGCTTGCTTTTTCATTTAAGGGGTGGCTATGGTGAACTTTAGTTTGATTGTGCATTCCTCACAAAGTTTGATTATTTTTGAGTTGGCAATGAATTATTTATTAGTTAGAAAAAGAACTCTGAGTAGGCCATCGAGACACATTATATGTTATGATAATCATAGGGAAATCAAGGCGAGTAAAGGCATTTAGTGAAGTAATCTTTAGGATGAACATGGATCTTCTATTAGATACTTAGGGGAGTGGATTGTTAAAATGAATTTCCCTTGATACCAGAGTTAACCTAGACAATAGTAGAAAAGTAAATGTTATTATTGAAATTCAATTAATAAGTTACAAACAATCAACTGAAATAGAAAATAAAAACAAACACGACACACTAACTGCCGTTAGGGTTGGATCAAGAGGAGTTGGAGGTGGTGGGTGAGGGTCGGGAAGGTGGCAGGATGGTGAACGAGGTGGTTGTCTATCATAAAACAACAAGTTAATGATTTTTTAAGTTTCGGATAACAAGTACGCATTAGAATTGACGTCACATGGTTGCGTAGGATAATGACAACAAAGGGGGAGGGCCGAAATAGTGGCTAGGTGGCAGGGAAGTGGTTCAGAATGACACATCAGCTAAGACTGCAGAGGGTTCTTTATGGTGGCTGGAACATCAGTGAGATAACAAGAGAAATGGATATGGGCGGCTGGTACAACAATCATGGGGCGGGGAAGGTGACTGGAATGCAGGAACTATAGAAAACAACAAAAAGAGGTTGTTCAGGGCTGTTGCACCTGGGAAGGGGCGGCCGGGAATGATGTGGGAGGATGCAGAAATGAATAGGGGAAGATAAACACCACCTCAGGAAAGAAATGCAGTCGGAACACCGCCCAATCCCTTGGACAAAACGAACTTCAACTGCTATCCTAAACAAACCCATGAAAAAATTAACTTCAGTACCCCAGTATAATACTTATATTGGAAATGACTAAAAAAGGAATAAAGGATTGGCCAGAGCTCCACCCAATCCCTCTGATAGAACCTTCGAAGGGAGAAAATGGACGCCAACAACTTCCCTTTTAACCCAAAAATATAATAAAATAAACAAAGCACTACCTACTCCTGCCTTGGATGTCCTAAATGCTCTAGCTTCTCATTGTAAGCATTGCAAATGACCCTCATACCACCATTTCTCTGTACGAATGGAGAAGAAACCCATCTTTCATTCCTCCTTATTCATAAGCCAAGTCGAACACCTAGCCACTCCGTCTCTTTTGTTTGCACGTCGACTCTCCAATACAGTCGCAACTAGGGCTAGCTGGAAAGGCAACAAAGGGATAACAACATACAAAGACCTGTGAAATTCCCATCTTTCTCGCTTGCAGATTTTCACCTCGACATTAACACTCATTTAAGGCTCTCGCTCCCCTTGTTCGAGCGATACGGTCGTGACTAGGGTTAGCGGGAAAAGCAATAACGAAATTGCAACATTTAGAGAACTCCCATCTTTCTCTGCTTCTAGCTTCGTTCACCACATACAAAAGCCTTTGTGATACTTTTATGTAGTAAGCACTAATGCACTCAACTCGCTCGACTTCACCTCTCTGCTGCTCAAATCACTCGCACAATGGCGCTCTCCCCACACAGTCGCGATTAGGACTCGCGATAAAGGCAACCATAGGGTTGTTGCATACAGAGACATCTAAAGCTCTCAATTTCTCTCTTTTCCTACCTCCTTACCCGATCATGACCCAAGCCCTCAAGATACATTGACAACTGCAATCGGCAGAAAGCAACGATAGGATCACATCATATGAAGTCCTTCTGAAATTTTGGCTTGCCTGCTTCTTCCTCCTTGTGATCACCCTCATTTTTAACCAAATGCTCTCTGTAGTCTCTATCAGTTGAACTGCTCGCCTATTATTCGTCGACCCTTGCACTGAAGCCTTGCACCGAAGCTTCCGATCCTTCCCCTCTAATACCTCATGAACCTTCTCCTTTAAAGCTTCGTTTGTCTCTTCTTGTGCTGCACGATCCTGATTCCACTTTGTCGGGCTTAGTTTTGACTAGCGAGGAAAGCAACTATTGAATCACAACATACAAAGACCTCCATAATTACTGTCTTCTTCTATCTGTCTCTCTATACTGAAACACTCACTATTTTTTTTCTTCTTCCTGTTCGCACGACAGAGACGAAATGCCTCCACTTCTCTGTATCTTTGTTTCAAAGGCAGCAACTCACTTGATTCAACCCTCAAATTCCTGTCTTCCCCTTTGCTTTCTTGCCTCGCAACTCCCACGCCATAACCTCTTAAACCAGCTGAAGCTTGCTCGAGCCCCTCTGCCCTAATCCAAAAACTGAAGTCCTCCTCCCAAATCCTTATTGTAGTCTTCTGTGCCTTTCTGTTGCGTGAGCCCAAAACAAACATAAATCTCTATTTGAACTTGCCCTAACCCGAAC